TACGCGAGTCAATATATACTTTTTTTTACCCTGAGTGTATGTTAAAAGGAAAAAGATCAATCATACTTTTAAAACAAATTAATAGAGTTTAAATGAAATAAAATAGATCAAATCAAATTATGTTTTATTACTTTTTTTTTTAAATGCCGACGGGCTTGGTATTTATGTTTCTGTTTAATATATATGTACATGTACATGTGCATATATTATGCAAGTAGAATGTAAAATAAAAAAAAACGTACAGAATGTTACGGCACGTGCAACGTTTTTCCTTCGGTCAGTTTATTGATTTATCGAGTCCATCGATTAAAACAAAATATTCATGATAGAATTTCAATGAAATGAATTGCTTCTGGATTATTTTTTTCAAGTTTCAATATGTCGTTTCTGTAAACAGATATTATACATGTACTGTAGCCGATTTATCAGTTTATTGTCCAGTTGTGGACTTTGACTAATTCTACGATCAAGTTTCTGAAAAACACCAAAATAGTGACAGCTACAGACACTATTTAAGGTCTTCCGTTTAAATAGCACGATTAAAGACAAAAAATATCTACCGAAACAAGATCACCGTCGCAAGCCACGGGTTTTGTGTCAATTCTATTTCTACAAACCCGTGGCTGCCTCCTACCAAGTTCTCTCGTTCTCGCGACTGAATCATTGAATATTTATGAAGTGACGCCAGATTTACCCTGACCAATGAAATCACTCTGTAGCAATTTTTGGTACGCTTAAATGGCGGTGCCCATAATGAAATCATGTTTGCAAAGCGTTGCAGATTTATTGAAAAAAAAAAATACGATAGATCCTGAAGAACAGATGTGAGTAACGTATATTCTAAAATACTTACAAGGTTTTACATTAAAATACAGGGTTTCGAATATAGACGTTGTGTGAGAACGCTGAATAGCGTTACTCGTTAAGAAAGGAAATTCGAACCGAAGTTGATGTACAGCTCGTGGTTATGGTTACATCCAAATACAAGATAGACTGATCATTTTCAATGGTTCTGACTTGATTCTGGTTCTGACTCTGACTCGTTATTTTTATGGATTTTTCATATGGAGTACATTGTAAATGTGTACTAGAAGATTAATTTATGGAAAAAGACGAATAAAAATATTCTTGGACCCCGGGGTGTATATTGGGGGGGGGGGGGGGGGGGGGGGTTCCTGTCCACAAGCACCTGTGCAGCATTCAAGCTTAAAAGACCATTCAAACAATACAAATCAGGAACAGTGCAAATCTTTTGAAATCAGAGGTAGAATCAAGTGCCATGGATCTGTCATGTTGTAAATTTTGAACTTACCGGTTGTCAGTATTTACTGCCACCCGGTAAATTCAAAATTTATAGCATGAGAGATCCTTTTCACGCTAGCACTTACCCCGACACGAGACCTTATACGGTCTCATCCAAAGGACCGATCTCCACGTTTTACTACTTATCCAAACTGGGCATAAAACATTCTCAATGAATTTTTTAATCATTATGTTGAACCTAACAAATTATTCCGACTCGCTGTATGATCTGAAAAACATGGCTGAACTTATCCATTCAGAAACTCACAGACTGGGATTGCTTTTAACCAGTGTGTGTTATGGCCTTGATGCAAGGTCATTTGGTCGAGTCAAGGTCACTGACAGAGAAACTGTAATTTCGCTACCGTATTTGTACTAGTGAAACATTGCTGGTATCATGCAGAGTGTGACATGGCCTTGACTCAAGTTCAAGGTCACTAAGGATAAGATGTTTTGACTGTATGTATGGACTAAAAGAACATGACGTGTCACTGTGAACTTTTCAAGTTGGTAACACACAGATTGGGTTTTATGACAAGAGTGTGTCATGGTTTGACGCAAGGCATTTGGAATGTTCAAGGTCACGTACATTCCTTTACAGTTTTTCCTAGCGAAATATTGTAAGTTGCTTCCCCTTACAAGATTGCTTACATGTATAACTTTAGAATGTGGCATGACCTTGACTCAAGGTCACTTCTTCCTTCCGCAGCTCCAACGGAAGACCTATTCGTTGCTTTGCAACGAGCTCGCTCTAGTTCTTTTTCTTTTTTGCTTGTCAGGAAATTTTTGGTAGTGCCCCCTCAACTATCAACTGAAAACGTATGGCTGTGCCCCCCCCCCCCCCCCAAAAAAAAAAAAGAAAACCGAATTTGCTTCCTACGGGCCTGGTAAATCATCATGTAAAATAGAAATGACACATAATATATTATTGTATTAAAAATTTAAAATACAAGCGTATAAATGCAAAACGTCCGCTGACCTTTGTAATTTTTTTTTCAGTACTTTACACGAAATCGCCTTAACACGGAGATGTATGAAGGGATGTTACAACCACTTTAATTCATTCTATAAGTCAGAAGTTTTCTCTGATTTGTTATCAAATAAGAATAAACATTTTTATTTTCCAACTAAAAAAATATCTCTTATACTTCAGCGTTCGGCAATAATTGCAATGTTTTAATGCGATAAAAATCGTGTGATTAAAAACTTAATGTGTGTGCATCGTCTTTCTCAGGACAATTTTGGAGAATTTATTTTATTGACTTATTTATTTATTCATTTATTGGTTTACTTATTTATTATTGATTGATTGATTTATTTATTTTTTATTTTTATTTTTTTTGCACCTGACATTATAAAACAATAAAATAGTTTCAATGCAAGGAAAAAATCAGAGGCATTCCGAATATATCGTTTATCTTGCGTTAACCGTTCGTTCACCGTTCACTTTGCGTTCGCGTTTGCGCTCCGTTTGCGTTCTGCGTTCGCTCACCGTTCACCGTTCACCAAGTTGCGTTCAGCGTTCACACATCGTTCACTCACCGTTCGCTCTGCGTTCGTTCAGCGTTCGTTCACCGTTCGTTCAGCGTTCGCTCACCGTTCAAGTGGGAAAGTAGAACGTTTCAGGGACTGTATTTTATAATTTTTTTTATAACATTTTTTATAACCCCCTCTTAAAGAACATCAGTTTATCATAACGTTTCAAACACATTATTATGACATCAATCTACCTGTCGATTGAAAAAAATCGTTTTAAAAATCAGTTATATAAAATTGTACATGTAATTTGATTTTTATACCCCCGCTCAGAAGGAGAGGGGGTATACTGTTTTACCCTTGTGTGTCTGTCTGTGTGTCCGTGTAGCTGTGTGTCTGTCAGTAACAAATATTTGTCGCAGTTTTCTCAGCAACTACTCATTGCAGATGCTTGAAATTTTAGCACACTCTTTGTCTAGGCATGTCATATGGTGGAATTCATTTTTATACAAATTGGATGTCAACTTCCTGTTTTTCCGTATGTTTGTCCATAAAAAATTTTCATCGCAGTTTTCTCAGCAACTACTCATCGCAGATGCTTGAAATTTTAGCACACTCTTTGCGTAGGCATGCCATATGGTGGGATTTATTTTGTACAAATTCGATGTCAACTTCCTGTTTTTCCGTGCATCTGTCTATTCCAAATTTCTCAGCAACTACTCATTGCAGGTGCTTGAAACTTTAGCACACTCTTAGTCTAGGCACGTCATATGGTGGGATTCATGAGAGCGTATATTCACATCAGATTGGGGGTATTACTAGTGAGCATTCGGTGTGGGGTTTTTTTTCAGTACTTTGGGACTGGGGGCTGGGGCCCTCAGAATTGGGAATTTCAGTGTCAATTAGGCTAAATTGGGAATTTCCAGGAAAACCCAGTCACATAAATAACATTGTCAAAAAAACTTAGTTTTTGTCATTGTATTACTTTAACAAACAATTTTTATAACAAATCAAGCCTATTCTTGGTATGAATTATCTAATTACTTATATCAAGAACAATAGTGGTATGAATTATCTAATTACGAAGAAATCCAATATGGCTGAACAACAAAACCAGCTTGAACTTCACTGAGAAACATGCAATAAACAAACTGAATTTAATCACATATTTTGTAAGTTTTTCTTTTTGAAAACTTCCAATACATTTTGGGAAAATACAGGCATATTTTTAATTGGGACTGGGGCCGAATTTCTGCCCCAAATCGGCCCTAAAAAATCACTGGCATTGGCTCACAGACTTCCTGTTTAACATATTTAACCTGTAAATTCTTAATTTTGTTTAATTTTTCATTAATTATGTGAAAAAAAGTTGCTTTAAAAGAATGAATACGCTTCATATTTTATTATGACGCACAAAGTATTGTGCAATGAAAACCCCAGTCGGCCTCCTTAAGAAAACAGTGTCCTCAGCCGTCACCCACTTCAATTTTTGGTTACGTTGTGCAAAATCCTTTGCAAAATCACATTTCTCAAAATCTTTGTGGGAGATGCATGTGGTCTAGTATATTATCTGAAAGAAAATTCCACTGAAAATTTTTGTTTTCTGCAATTTTTTAATGAAAATGCACACAAGTTCATGACATCACAATTAGCATTTAAGGGGTCATATTAGAAAAACGATTTGTATGTTCTTACTGCATGTAATTTCAATGATTCAGAAAGTATGGGTTTTAATTCCTGACATCACTTTCATATTAATTTTACAAAGATACAGGGCCAGATTTGTATTGAAACTGTACTTTGTTCTTTCTTCATATCATATACATGAACATGTAATATTTAAAGAATGAATTAAATAGCTACTGAAATTATACTGGTATAACCTGGGTTGGAACAGTTTACTCTTTTTTATAAACTGCTTTGCTGTTTTTGATAATTAATTTTTTTCATCATTAATTGTAGAAAATAAAATTTCTCCTTCAAAAATGCCTTCAAATTGTACATACTTTAAATGTAACGTCAAGCGGATTGAGACGTTTTTGATGTAAGTCATGATGTAGGCAACACAGGTTATACAAACTTAAATAATTTTTTTTATCCAATCAAATGATGCATTATTTCTTTTTTTACAACCAGTTTGAAAATTAAACTATTACTCTATGTACTGTAATGCATATTTTGTAAAACATTTCTATAATTCATTCTTTTCATTATGATTATAGAATGTTACCCGTGGTGTGTACTGGTATTACATAATAGAACTGGGTTTCTACTGGAGTTTGACCTTCACCTTGTTGATTGACCATAAACGTAAGGTAAGGGTACAGCTGTTACATGTACATTGTGACCTTCACCTTGTTGATTGACTTTGTACATTGTGACCTTCACCTTGTTGATTGACCTTGTACATTGTGACCTTCACCTTGTTGATTGACCATAAGCGTAAGGTAAGGGTACAGCTGTCACATGTACATTTTTGTCAAACCAAAGTTTATATAGCTAAAAAAACAGTTTCTTTCTGAAGGATGAAACCACACCAGCCTGGTGTGATAGAACGTAGAAACCATGGCAACGGTCAACATTGCTGGACAATCGGGTAAAATTCCAAAAATACTGACAGGGCAGAATCTATGGATGGGCACTTCACCTTTATGTGTATAAATCATTATGTATACATGTAGTATAATGAATATATTCATGCAGTTGAGGGTAAGATGGAAAACAACCATTGTCAACCTCAGCTGTGCCTCAGTTGACAATGGTTTTCTTGGGGTTAACAATTTTCATTGCTACCCTCAACTGCAGTATTTATATAATGTTTCATAGTGTAGAATATTAGTTATCCAGGTTCATGTTATTTGCTTTTTATCATAGAGAAACTATGCATTTTGAAGTCACATTTTTTACCCCCGGCTCAAGTCGGGTGTACGGAAATTTACACCCGACTTTGTAACCAATCAAAGCTCATGTTACAAGCTACATAGGAAATAATTATCTTTAAATCTTTTTGTAAATAAAAAATAGATATGAGGATTTGACATTTAGAGACTACTTTGGAATCGGTATCGTCTGACATTTAGATACTTTTGATATCATCTGACATGTAGATACAAGTACTTACTTTTGATATCATCTGACATTTAGATACTTTAGATATTTGTCTTGCATTTAGATACTTACTTTAGATATTATCTGACATTTAGATACTTACTTTAGATATTGTATGACATTTAGATGCTTACTTTAAATATTGTCTGGCATTTAGATACTTATTTTAGATGTCTGACATTTAGATACTTACTTTAGATATTGTCTGACATTTAGATGCTTACTTTAGATATTGTATGACATTTAGATGGTTACTTTAAATATTGTCTGGCATTTAGATACTTATTTTAGATGTCTGACATTTAGATACTTACTTTAGATATTGTCTGACATTTAGATACTTACTTTAGATATTGTCTGACATTTAGATGCTTACTTTAGATATTGTATGACATTTAGATGCTTACTTTAAATATTGTCTGGCATTTAGATACTTATTTTAGATGTCTGACATTTAGATACCTACTTTAGATATTGTCTGACATTTAGATACTTACTTTAGATATTGTCTGACATTTAGATACTTACTTTAGATATTGTCTGACATTTAGATAGACACTTACTTTAGATATCCTCTGACACTTTAATAATTTACATAATATTTAATTTCTTGCTTTACATATCAGCTGGACACTTACATAAGATATCCAATGACATTTAGATACTTTAGGTATATTCTGACATTTTTATACTGTCTAAAGTAATCATCTAATATTTAGATACCTATGTTTCATATCTTTTGACTTTCAAATACTTATAATAGATATCCTCAAACATTATACATGTTCTAATGATACGTCTGTTTTTTCTGACATTTAGATACTTTCTTAGATATCCTCAAACATTTAGATACTTCCTTACTTAGATATCCCTGACATTTAGATACTTAAGATGACCTCTGACATTTAGATACTTACTTGCTTTAAATATCCTTTGAAATAATCTTTTTTTTCAGGACTTTAAAGAGATGGTGGTCCATCATCTGGTGACGATGACTCTGATGTACTTCTCCTGGGTGTGTAACTTTGTCAGGGTGGGGACACTTGTACTGTTGGTACATGATGCCGTTGATTATTGGATGGCTGTAAGTATTGGTGGGAGTTAAATAAATCTAAAAAAAATGAAGATAGGAAGATGAGAAGTATTATGAAAGTAATATTTTTAACTCCATGTGGAGATATCTATATGGAAAGCCCCCCCCCCCCCTCCCAAATTATTTAATATAAATTCCTACCATGTGTATCTTTTCATTTTGATAGCAAGTAAATAATCGTGCACTAATTGTCATGTTCAGATTATTTCTTTTTTCCCTGACAGGCTGCTAAGATGGCCAAGTACTGTAAGAGACAGACGCTTTGCGAGATATTTTTTGTCGTGTTTGTCATCGTTTGGATCCTTACAAGACTTATGATCTACCCTCTCAGGTACTGATTGTTACAAACAAATTAAAAATGATATATATGTAACTATAGCATTTTATATCCTAGTTCAACATTTTGAAATATTTTTTCCCCTTTTCATGAATGTTAAATTAGGAAAAGATTTTTTTCGGGGGGGGGGGGGGGGGGGGGGTTGTCTGTGCTCAGAGCTTAACAGAAGAGATGTGACATCCATTATATATAATTATAATTAAAAACTGATTTAAAACTTGTGATACTCAATAGGACAATTTCTAATTGAATGTGTTACACATACAGTAGCATGTACTTTTGAATAGGTTTCAAAGGTACATTTCAGGCCCCTAGCTCTCACATATATTTCAAAAGTTTAAGGATGTGACAAACAGATGCTTAATACATGTAATTGGATCCTTAACTTTGAATTTGCTTTTCCCCAGGCAACGCAATGAGAAAAAAATTTAGACACAGGCATAGCAATCTAAGGCATGATACAGATATGATATATATCCCTGTACAGCTAAAGCTATAGTGAATATAATCAATACAGAGAAAAGAAGTAGACACAGGCATAGCAATCTAAGGCATGATACAGATATGATATATATCCCTGTACAGCTAAAGCTATAGTGAATATAATCAATACAGAGAAAAGAAGTAGACACAGGCATAGCAATCTAAGGCATGATACAGATATGATATATATTCCAGTACAGCTAAAGCAGTAGTGAATATAATCAATACAGGGCATCATATAAGTTATTATAAGTTTACATTTCTAATAATTTTCCCTTAGTGTTCTTTATAAATAGAAATTGCAATTCATTTTCTCATGAACTCGGATGGATAAGCATGAATATGTCCATGACATCAAAAATATAGTGCAATCATTTTTTTCTTTTCAAAAATGATATAGTTCATGCAATGACAGATTTTGTTCCTAGTTGGCAGATAAATAATGTAAATATATGATCATGATGATATACATCTAATTTTTTGAAAATTGATGTGGTGCATGAACTACAAGACTTCACGCCTGCATATTTATCATGAAATGTGAAGCATCGTAGATCAGGTTGTCATGAATTTTCAAATTTTCATTTTCTTTCAACAGAGTGCTGTACACCAGCAGTATTGAGTATTACGAGTACCTGGATTACTTCCCCTCGGCGTACCTGTTTAACGCTCTCCTGATTGTGCTACAGATTCTACACATTCTGTGGACCTTCATGATCATCAAAATTATTTTACAGAAATTCACTGAAGGGGAGGTAAGTGTTTAAATACCAGATAGAAATCTTTAATTAATTAGTATTCATTAAAATCATTCAAAATGTTTAATTTGTCTCAATTTATTCACAAAAAGCCGGAAACTCAACTTCTTATTTATTTAAAAATGGATTATGAAATACTCTGAAATCACTGATTTTTGTGGGGCTTAATTTTTGCTGTTTTTGTGGTATAAAGCGACCCATGAATTGTTAAATTCCAAATAAATAATAACTGCACTTCTTCAATCATGAAATCAGATCCCCACAATTCAATATTTTTCCTCTAACAAAGAAAATTTAACCCCATGAAAATATGTTATTTTACAGTTTAATTGAAAGCTCTCTCTTTGAGCTGATTTCAGGTAAGAAAAAAAATATGTAAAATTATCTTATTTAATGTGATTTCAGCTGAAGAAGGACAGCAGAAGTGACTCAGAGTCCGATACAGATGACGGCGACACGACAGCATCAGAAGAAGCCTCGCCACAGAGACACCGCATGGTGACACGACAACGAGCCAACATCATGAACGGCACAACGTGATGTTGACCATATCACATGTCTACTTTATCATTACCGTATCATCTTAGGAACACCACTAATGGACTATGTAGCATCTACTGTCGATCACCAAGTTTTCGCAATACCTTATTTTCGCAAGAAATTTATTTGGTATTTATAAGTGAGGCATAATTTTTGCTAATTTTGGTTATTGTTAAATTTGTGTATTATCTTTGATAAACAAGTAAACATGAGAATAAATTTTCATGAGCAGGGAGTCCAACATAATTATGCGAAAATGAAGTTGTTGTGAATAAAATGTGATTTACAGTATTTTCAAATTTTGCAGGCCTAAATACCATTTAACATTAAAATTTCTTTTTATTGTAAAATGTTAAATCTTAAAGTAGGCATTTGCATTGGCATCTGTACATGTAATAGTAAACCCTTTTACATTGAAAGGTTTATGGATAGCAAAAAATGAAGGACATGTCAAGAAGTAATTCTACTAGCAGGAGTTATCAAAAAATTGCAGGAATTAGAAAGATGGTAACACTTTTTTATATCATTTCTATTTGACATGAACAATTTTATTTCTCTAAAAACCTATCCAAGACAGACTTTTTTCCTTAAAATATTTAATGTGTTAAATATTTACAGATAAATGATCAATAGACTGGATAAGGCTTTTCAGATCTCACTCTCCTGCATCAGTACTAGGAGATTTTCAAAGAATCTTCTACTTAAATAGATCTGTTCAAAATAAGTGCTTATACATTGTACAGGATGCTTTAGTTTTACAAAGTACTGACAAAAAGAAGCATTAACTGTTAACTTTTTGTAAGTTTTAATTTTGTTGGTTTCTGGCATTTTTATCCATCATGGGTATTCAGAGAATATTACATGTACATGTTGCCTTGTTAGACCGTATAAAACTACCTATAGTCAGGAAATTTTGGTCTGGATAAGTCTGATGATCTTGCAGGCATAAATACTGTAAATATACTTTTTTCCCATGAGGCCATAAACCATAATTTCCTGGAATGACAATTTCATTTCAATCTGCAGGTAGAAAATTAAATTTCAGATTTCTTAGATTGCCACTAATTCTTTAAATGTACTTAAGTTACACTGGGGCAAATTTCCATGAAAAAATTTGTGACCACATACATAGCATAAATTAATACCATGTGGAGAAAAGTACCTCTACAGTAAATAATAAAAATCATCATTTACGTGAATCCACCAAATGTGAAAAATGTTAGAGACTTTGATGAAAGGAAAGTTTTAAGACTGATTTTATTTTTTTCACTTTTGACAATCTCCCTTGTGTTTCTTACAGTTAGATTCTTATATGGCAGTCATTGAGTAAAAGGAACATGTAAGATGAGCTAAATATCAGAGTGTTTGTGTGTTTTAGTCTCAAATATATATCTGATTCTATTGAAAATGATTAAGTGAAAATGTGTTAATAGTTAATGAATAACCACTTATGTACCTTTACAAGAACCACTGAATTTACTTGTTGCTATCAGTGTACAAGAACCACTGAATGTACATGTTGCTGTCGGTGTACATGAACCACTGAATGTTGCTACCAGTGTACATGAACCACTGAATGTACTTGTTGCTACCAGTGTACATGAACCACTGAATGTACATGTTGTTACCAGTGTACATGAACCACTGAATGTACATGTTGCTACCAGTGTACATGAACCACTGAATGTACATGTTGCTACCAGTGTACATGAACCACTGAATGTACATGTTGCTACCAGTGTACATGAACCACTGAATGTACTTGTTGCTATCAGTGTACATGAACCACTGAATGTACATGTTGTTATCAGTGTACATGAACCACTGAGTAGTGTACATGCTGGTACCAGTGTACTTGGTCAGCTACTTGTACATATATGTACTGTTTTTGTTGCTTTAAGATGAAGACATTGTCAGTCAATTTTAGCTCTGTTCTTATGGTGTGAAATTAAAACTTGTCTTTATGTTGTGAAAGTATTGTATATGTACTAGCTGAATATGTATAATTGTATGCATAACAATTTATTATGTACCCCAGGTAATGTATAACTAGACAAGTGCTTTATAGCTTAAATTTTTGTTATGAATCACATACCATTATATTGTATTCATTTTGATTTATTTGTTTTCCGAAAAGGATTAAAAATTAATTTATTTGTGGAAGTGCTTACTGATAGAATTGCAATGAAAACTAAATGTTTCTTTGTTTTAATATATAATAGCATTGTAAACCCTTGTTTAACCTGTGCTTCTTGCTGTGTTTATATATGTTTTTACTATATATAAAAACACATGCATTTATTTTGTAAATCCCAGTTGAACAAAATCTTTTTTCTTTTCTTTTCTTTCTTTCTTTCTTTTTTTTATATAACTTTATTTAATTGATCTGAATGAAATCCATATTGCTCTAAGTAATGTCTGTATTTTATATATGCTAGAGAATTTTGTTCCTTTGTTAATTTACATTGTTTTTATTGAATTTTTTATTCTGTTCACAGCATTTTGTTTTTGTTATGCAACAAATATTAGTTTTGGGGTTGATTTTTTAGTAATAAGTTTTTGTGCAGTAGAAATATTTACAAATAATAATCTCAGTCAACCAGGCTTTAATTAAAGTGTATATGATTTAACCTCACAATTACAGAAGAATTTTTAGCTGATATATCAATACCTTGCATTAGATATGAATATTTACAGGAATGTGAACTTCTGATGACCATAACTACAGTAAAACATGTTTATAGCAAAGTGCCAGGGATGGACTATTTTGCATCTTATAAACATAATTCTTTATATCCTTTAAATTCACAATATATTTTAGAGCCACGGGGCATGAAAATCAATTTGCTATAAGAGTGTTTTACTATATTCAGGTTGTATGAGAATTTACACTGTGTTATGTTTGATTCAATGAAGTAATTCAAGGAGAATGGTGTTTCATTACTCTTTATAAGATGCTCCATTACGAACCTCAAATGCATGTATATTAAATAGGTGTGTGACTTAGCTTTCCATTACGTGTAAATTCTTTTGTACATGTATTTGACACTGGGCATAGTCTGCCTCCTTAAATACCCCAATAATTACATCATGTATTATTATCGAATTCAATTCATTGCCAAGTACTGTAACAAGTTTCTGATTAAGCTTTGTAATATGCTTTATGTTTGTTGTGAATACCTTTGATCTTTTTTGACTATTTTTATGTGTATTGATCTCATTTTTTAATTTTTATCTCTGCCAAAACAACAAGAGAGGAGTTCTGTTTATATCTGTGTTTTCATGTCTGTCTGCATTTTTCTTTGTCTGGACAGTTGTAAAATGATAACAATGAAATTATAGGAATTTTTCCACCTCGCATCAAAGTATAAGAGAATTTGATTTCTAGTGACAGAGCTGGAGATGTTGGTGTGAAATACAGTAAAAGGAAACACAAAGTAATGTCATGCCAATTCAAAAGAACTTACAAAACAAAGATTAAAACAGGACTACAGAGAACACACTTATCATGAATTTATGCTTACAGATAATTGAATATTATTCTCTGTGGTTTTAAAAAGCTGACGTAACAAATTACAATCATAATGATCTAAAAACTATTAGACCCTGGCACTTCGGATAAGCTTGTTTTACTGTATGGAAGTTGAGACTTCAATTGACTCTTTTTATGTCTAACTTCCCTTTTTGGAGCTTCAAAAATCGTATTTTAGTTCCTAAAGTAATATGAAAGGGGGGATCTGTAACAGAACCTGTAAACATTGCAAGAAATTGCATTAGTGGCTTTTAAAAAACAGATTATTTATTAATTTTAATAAATCCTTTGTAACGGATGAAAAATAGGACTTAGATATATTATGTCAGATAATTCAGTACTTTAAAACAGATAAATAAAATGAATCTTACTGTGTGATTTTGAATAAACATTGCATAAGAGATTGACTATATTCTGTATAATTGTTCGTAGTATTTCAACTCTTTGAACACAAATCCAATTTATTTCTGAACCTTTAAAAGAGGATGTATCAAAGAGTTATTTCCCTTGTTCTTTGAACGTTCTTACCCCCGAGGTTTGACAAGGGAAGTAATAATACAACAAAATTACCTTACAGTAGTGGAAGTAGCTTTAAATCGCCATATCCTAACAATTCTACATATCGGTGTTCGAAAATTAAGTTTTTATTTACGACCACTAGCCATATAAATTGTGTAACAATATTTTATAGGTTAAAATTCATCTCTATCAGAATTGTATTAAATGTTAACTACAAGGTTAATTTGCTGTTAGACTTGATGGAGAGTTTCAATGAAATTATAATTTCCAGACTGCAAGTGATTTTGTGTTGATAATCTACATAAGTAATATATTCTTTATACATGTTGTGTATTTATAAATATGTTTTTTTTACCAGTTTTTGTTTAAATTGGATTTTTTCAGCTTTATACATATACATCATTTGCTCATTTCTGGGGTTTTTTCATATGCATGTATATTTACATGTATCACTGCATTCCGTAGTATTCTAAACTCTTCTTCCCCTTTCAATTTCTTACATGTATTTAGTGTGAATCATTCACAAATGTACATGCTACAGTTTTTAGCAAATGTTAAGTTGTTTGTAAAAGAAAAGGACAAACGCAAGCTGCAAATCTAGTGTATCAAGCAGTTTATGCGACACATATTTTATGCTTGGAGGAGGCTTCTTTAGTAGTAAAATTGAGAAACGTTAATATACATATCTGATTATTTATGTACAATTGAGAACAATGAAAGGGACAAATGACAAAGGTTTTATTTTTTGATGTCCCAAACTTTTTACAAGAAAATGAAGGAATGGAAAGAACTTTGTAATATTTAGGTGAATATAGTATATTTAATTAAATGTTAACCAATTAGTTGTACCTTAATTAATTTTTGTACTTTATTAATTTTGTATTCAGGATTGTTGTTGATTTGTGTTATCTTTTTGTATTATTATTAATGCAATATAAGTTCAGTGACAAATAAATAAGTTTTAAACGCCCTTGTTTTAGTGTCTTTAAAGTGAAGGATTCCTGTAATTAATTATCCCTTTAATTCTTGCGTGGATATAAGTAGCAATAGAATTTATGTCAAAAAATCAAACACAATCACATGTGTGTTCAAGATCTCTTACCTGTGCAATTGCTTATTTTGAAATTGTGGCTTATAAGGTGCAGGTTTTATAAATCGATTTAATTCAAAATGGTTCGAATATTTTGCAGAAGTATCTACTTTATTTTAGGAATGACTATAATTCTTGGCCAAATTATTCGAGTATAACCTGGTTTGGGTCAGTTTACGCTGTTTTATAATCCGCAAATTATTCGAGTATAACCTGGTTTGGGTCAGTTTACGCTGTTTTATAATCCGAAGCGGATTATAAAACAGCGTAAACTGACCCAAACCAGGTTATACTCGAATAATTTGGCCAAGAATTAAAGTCATTCCTTATAATTTAATTTTTAAAATCATTAAATAACTATGGGTGTAAAATTTCGTTGCTTTTTATTAGTTCAAATTTGCCGCTCAATAATACAACCATAGTAACGGGGAAGTGATGGGAAGAGAGGGGAGGTAAAAACTAATACACAGGCCTAGCAGCCTTGTTGTTTATTTACATGTGGTAAGATCGAATTATTGTTTGAAGTTAAAGGTACATTTATTAAATATGGAATTTTCCATGAATCTCGAGGACTGGAAATGAGAGGATTGTATGGATACAGATGTTTCAGCTGGTTGTCGGGGGGGGGGGGGGGGGTGTCTCCATACCAAACTAGGTTATACAGAAATAATTTGTGTTCCTTTTTGGATATTAACCAATCAGAGGCTAGAATACAAACAAAATTTTATATATATATATATATATATATATATATATATATATATATATATATATATATATATATATATATATAATATATATATATATATATATATATATATATATATATATATATATATATATAATATATATATATATATATATATATATATATATATATATATATATATATATATATATATATATATATATATATATCACTTTGTATGTAAATACCCTGAAGAACATGAAAAATGAAAATGTAATGGTATACCTATCCATGCATTAGTAGGTGTATAGGGCAAATTTTTTAAGGAATTTGCCCTTAATGTTTCGCTAGGAGAAAGGTGAACATAACTAGCAGAGACAAATCTCATAAATTCTTTAAAGCAATACGATTAGAAAATGGAAAAACAAAGACTCCTGGACAAACCAGGGGTGACATCAGTTGTCTAGGAGAGTATGCATCCTTTCTCACATCCGCCCTGAGCACACTGTATTAATCAGATAAACCGAGTAATCCATAGCCAGATACAAACATGTCAGTCAAATTCCGACCTAACGAGAGATTGAACTACAGAAAGGGTCATTTTAACGACCATAGAATCAACAAAATGTTGAAGTTAAATGAGATTGTTGAAAGCCCTCTAACATCAACTTATTTTTCAGTAGCCTGCATGTCTAGGATTAAAAAAAATTGATTGTAAACAGAGCTTGTCCTCGCATACCGATTTAGTTGGAAGACAAAGACACCATATTCAGGTTATAAATAGAATCTAGAAAGTAATTTTTGGGGGAAAAAATGAAGTCATCTCGTTACCTCACCTGAGCTGAAAGCTCAAGTGAGCTTTTCTGATCACCTGTTGTCCGTCGTCCGTCTGTAAACTTTTCACATTTTCAACTTCTTCTCAAGAACCACTTGGCCAATTTTAACCAAACTTGGTACAAAGTATCCTTGGGTGAAGGGGAGTTTAAATTGTTAAAATGAAGGGCCAAGTTCCCTTCAAAGGGGAGATAATCAAGAAAAGACAAAAATTGATTGGGGTCATTAAAAGATCTTCTCAAGAACCACAGGGCCAGAAAATCTAGAATCTAAATTGTTCAAATCATGACCACCGGGGGTAGGGCGGGGCCACAATAGGGAACCCAAGTTTTACATTGAAATATATAGTAAAAATCTTTAAAAATCTTCTTCTCAAGAACCACAGGGCCAGAGAAGCTGAAACTTACGTGGAAGCATCCTGGGGTAGGGCAGAATATAAATTGCTAAAATCATGACCCCCGGGGTTAGGGCGGGGCCACAATAGGGAATCCAAATTCTACATGGAAATATATAGTAAAAAAATCTTTAAAAATCTTCTTCTCAAGAACCACAGGGCCAGAAAAGCTGAAACTTATGTGGAAGCATTCCGGG